CTAGTCACCACTCCCATCACCTCTCACCTCCAGCAGGCTCAGCTCCTCTGGACCTGGATGCTGCTTCTGGGTTGGTGATTTTTGCCCTGGCAAAGGGAGAGCAGACTTACGACATCTGGGGTCCAGAGTTAGGATTGAATATTCAGGATAAGGGTTCACTTTGAAGTTCAGATTTAGGATTAAGGCTATTTTGATAGTGGTGGCAGGGAACCTTTAGAAAGAGCTTGTAGTGAAATGTGGGGTGAAAGCCCTCCTTCTTTCTCCTGCACCTTTTCCACAAGATGGGGAGGTCTGGCCAGACACAGTGGCTCACGCCTATAATCCCAGTGCTTTGGAAGGCTGAGGTGAGGATCACTTGAGGCCAGGAGTTATAGACCAAATTGGGCAACATAGCAAGACTCCATCTCTATCATGGTAGCCTATAGTCTCAGCTACTCAGGAGGCTGAGATAAAACAATCACTTGAGCCCAGGAATTCAAGGTTGCGGTGAGCTATGATTCTGCCACCGCACTCCAGCCTGGGTGACAGAGCAAGATTCTCAAAAAAATAGGGGGGAGGTCTAGGATAGGAAGGGTTAAGTGTGGTTTTGCTTTCCAGCCTGGAAGGGAAGCCAGGCCGAGCAGCTTTGTAGGGGAAACGGGGGGCACTGAGTGCCAGGGAGGGGCTGTGGCAGTGGGAACAGCATGAGCCCTTCCCTCATGTTTCACTTTCTTACCCTCCTGCCTCTGCTTCTGGTTTGGAGAACAAGACTTTTTATTGTCTGGGAAGCTGAGGGTGGGTGCCACACCCTGGGGCAGAGAAGCCATATTCTGGGCCCCCTCACCCGGGTGCATCCCTAATGCTCACCATGCTGCCCAGGCACCCTCACTGAGATGAGAACTTTCCTTGTTCTCCTCCCCTAATAACCAAAGTTCCTGCCTTAATCCCACTCCAGTCCCTCATCCACCCCAAGGCCAGGCTTCAGAACCCAGAACTGAGGGCCTGTCCAGCCCTGCTTTCCTTGTGTTTGAGAGAAGCCCTGATATCCTGGAGCTGTACAAGGTAGCAATATAATTTGATTTTCCTGGTTGCTCATCGGAGGATAAACTGTGGGAGGCAGTTGGGCAGGGCATGCAGGCAGATGGGGCCCAGACCTCAGTGCTGTCACCTCTTAGAGAGGATGAGGTGGGCCGGGCGTGGTGGCTGGCACCTGTAATCCCATAACTTTGGGAAGCTGAGGCAGGCAGATTACCTGAGGTCGGGAGTTTGAGACCTGTTTGACCAACATGGTGAAACCCCATCTCTATTAAAAATAAAAATAAAAATAAAAAATTATCTGGACAAGGTGGTGGGTGCCTATAATCCCAGCTACTCAGGAGGCTGAGGCAGGAGAATCTCTTGAACCCTGGAGGTGGAGGTTGCAATGAGCCGAGATCATGCCACTGCATTCCAGCCTGGGTGAGAGAGCAAGACTTCATCTCAAAAAAAAAAAAAAAAAATAGAGGATGAGGTGGCTGATGGGACCAGAATAGGGGCCAGGATGAGGGGAGGGGAGTGGAAGGCTTATCAAAAGGGTCCTTGGTGAGGCCTGAGGATGGAGGCTCCAGAGCCTGAGCTAGCGAACCCTGGGGACCTGGGTGATCTCGTTTTGTGAGACAGCCTGGCCCCTCCCCAGAGCCAGCTGCAAAATGGACCTGGCCAGAGAGGAAAGTAGAGATGAATGTGGTGCTGGCCTTTGCAGCCAGCAAGGCTGTGGGGTCTTTGCTGTTCCTGCCCCCCACTACCTTCTTGCCCCCTACTACCTTCTTTCTGGCTGAAACCAGGATAGAGACCCAACATTGGCTGTCCAGCCCCCAGCCCTGCTCCCCCTTTCAGGCCCCTCTGGGAACCACAGAAATCTGGGACCTAGTGTCCTGGCAACGTAATGAATGCACACACAGCTCTGGTATCTGTTTTAAATTATCCATTAAAATAAGTACAGTTCTGGGGAAAAAAAATTAAGTTGACTGGGTGGGGTAAGCAGTAGAAAGGGACTGAAGGGGGAAGGAACCCAAGCAGTGCTTGGGTCCAAAGGAAGGGGACAGGAGATGGAAGAGGGAAGTGCCTGGCTCCTATTCTTGGCCTTCTTTAGGGGACTGTGGCTTGTTTCTTGGGTCTAAAAACGAATGCTTGGTTTTGAAGGGAGATATATTGGGGCAAAAGAAAGCAAAAAAGGGACCCCCCAAACTCCTTGATCCCTGGCCCCAAATTGGGGGCATAAAGGAACTCAGGTCCCAGAACTTTGTTCCCCCCAGGGAACCCAGGCATTCCTTCTCCACCCCACTCCTGGCACACTGAGATGCAGCTCTGAATGGGCTGCCCACGTGTGGAGGGGGGGTTGGGGTGACTCACTATTACTACTGGGAGGACAGGGGGAGCCAGTGGTGGAAGAAGGGTGAGTCACACTGATGGGCACCAGCCTCAGCCCTCCCCCCACTTTCCTGGCTCCCAGCCCTGCCTGCCTGACCCTCTCCCTTGCTTTGCACCCACTTCCCTCTCTTTCTCCCCCACCCTTTTGCCCACCCACTCTCCCTCCTTGGCTCTGCCCTCTAGCCCAGAAGGTCTGAGGCAATGGGGGCAAGCTTGGAGCCGGCAGTACTGAGCAGGCAGGAGCCAAGAGAGGGGAAGCTTAAGCCTCACGCAGTTAGGGGTGCGCTGGAGAGGGTGGGGCTCGACTCCGCCACACCCCAACAGTCTTTCCCCCTCCTCACCACTCCTGCCCCCACCCCCATGGATCTGGGACTGCCCCTTTAAGAGCAGTGGCCACTCCTCCCTTCAGACGAGGACCTATTAGAGCCTTTGCCCCGGCGTCGGTGACTCAGTGTTCGCGGGAGCGCAGCACCTACACCAGCCAACCCAGATCCCGAGGTCCAACAGCGCCCGGCCCAGATCCCCACGCCTGCCAGTAGCAAGCCGAGAGCCAGCCGGCCGGCGCACTCCGACTCCGAGCAGTCTCCGTCCTTCTGCCCGAGCCCCGAGCCCTTTCCGGGACCCCTGCCCCGCGGGCAGCGCTGCCAACCTGCCGGCCATGGAGACCCCGTCCCAGCGGCGCGCCACCCGCAGCGGGGCGCAGGCCAGTTCCACTCCGCTGTCGCCCACCCGCATCACCCGGCTGCAGGAGAAGGAGGACCTACAGGAGCTCAATGATCGCTTGGCGGTCTACATCGACCGTGTTCGCTCGCTGGAAACGGAAAACGCAGGGCTGCGCCTTCGCATCACCGAGTCTGAAGAGGTGGTCAGCCGCGAGGTGTCCGGCATCAAGGCCGCCTACGAGGCCGAGCTCGGGGATGCCCGCAAGACCCTCGACTCAGTGGCCAAGGAGCGTGCCCGCCTGCAGCTGGAGCTGAGCAAAGTGCGTGAGGAGTTTAAGGAGCTGAAAGCGCGGTGAGTTCGCCCAGGTGGCTGCGTGCCTGGCGGGGAGTGGAGAGGGCGGCTGGCCGGCGCCCCTGGCCGACTGCAGGAAGGGAGTGAGAGGGCCTGGAGGCCGATAACTTTGCCATAGTCTCCTCCCTTCCCGGAACTGCCCCCAGCGAGTGACTGGCAGTGTCAAGGGGAATTGTCAAGACAGGACAGAGAGGGAAGAGGTGGTCTCTGGGAGAGGGTGGGGGGGATATAAGGAATGGTGGGGGTATCAGGGACAAGTTAGGGCTGGGGCCTGCCCGAATTCGGTCAGATTGGGATTTGCCAGCTATTTGGAGCCTGCGGGAGGGGCTTAAGCAAAACAGAACTAGCCCTGCCAGCTCGAAGAACTCTGGGCACCCAGGACACATATGAGTAGCAGAAAGGGTCCTGTTAGAACTTTGTTGGCGGGCTTGGCACTGTGCCAGCTTTGCCCAAGCTGGCTCTGAACACATGATGCCCACTAAGACATGACTCCCAAGCTGGCATCTGTCCAGCGTGTTGGAGAGAGGTGAGGAAGGCAGGGCAATCCCCCTTTTCCCTCCCGAGGGCTTGGCGGTGGCCCCCTCGGCATGACCTTGTCCGGGGTTCTAAGGGTTGGGAAGCTGTCCCTCACTCTGCCACTCTGCGTGTCTGGGACCTTCCTTGGGCTCTGACAGGCCCACCAAAAGAGCTCCCGGAGATGGGAGATCGGGAGATTGGCTCCCCCGCAGCTCCCACAGCCCTTGGCCTGCTTGGCCCAGGAATGCAAGGGAGGGAGGGAGGCAGAGGGCAGAGGCTCCCAGCTCAGGAAGTTGTGTTATGCCCAGGTCTGGCCGCACTCCTCCCTTGGCCCACTGCCTAGTGTCTTCGAGGGTTGGGGGCACTGTCCTTCCCTCCTTGGAGTGAGCCACTTTCATTTTCCCAGCCAGGCCAGGCAGTCTTTGCTCAGGCCCATCCTCTTAGCTGCTAACGTTTTGATCTTTGTCTTATTAAAGTGCTGGAATACAGTGACATTTTTGAAATCCAGCCGTTGGACGCTTCAGGCCACTCCTACTTTACCCACCCCTGCCCCACCCTACCCCACCCTGCTCAACTCCACCTTCTTCTTTCCTAAAAAAGCCTTGGGAGCTTGGAAGTATAGGCCTTCCTCTTCCAGTCCCCCCAAAATTTGGTTCCCTTCTTCCTGCCTTCCCTTTCTCTATGCAGACCCAGGCTAAGAGCACTAACAGGGCTTGGAGAGCCATAAAGGGCTGTTGGCTTTGACTTCTTCTCTCCCTTTTATCAACTACTCCAAACTTCTGCTCTTCCCAAAACCCTTTGCTAGGTGTGGTGGGTGTGGCAGATCCATCGCCCTTTTTTTTTTTTTTGAAAATGGAGTTTCGCTTTTGTTGCCCAGGCTAGAGTGCAATGGCACAATCTCGGCTCACCGCAACCTCTGCCTCCCAGGTTCAAGCGATTCTCCTGCCTCAGCCTCCCAAGTAGCTGAGATTACAGGCATGTGCCACCATGCCGGGCTAATTTTGTATTTTTAGTAGAGAAGGGGTTTCTTCATGTTGGTCATGCTAGTCTTGAACTCCCAACCTCAGGTGATCCACCTACCTTGGCCTCCCAAAGTCCTAGGATTACAGGCGCGAGCCACCACGCCGGGCCCATCGCCCTTCTTTCTGAAGAGTCAGTGGAAGTTGTGTGTAGGAAGACAGGCTCAACCTTTTTTTC